GAGTTGTTTATATTTTGAATATAAGATACAATTTACTCGAATGTGTGTGATAATAATAGTTGCATGTCTGGTCAAAAGTTGTAACTTATCACCATCGACAATAAAACAGTAAAATATTTGTCACTTAACATACTCCGTAGTTAAATAAGTACCCACCAGCGTAATGTCATCTAGCAAAAACATTTTTAGAAATTTGCACCTTTTTTATATATTCACAGTTCAGATTTATAAAATAACACACAAAAAAAACCATGATCTTGCTTCTGATAAGGAAATCAATATTTTACTTTCTGTCTGTTGTCAAAAACATTCGCACTTAACTAATATCATTCGTTTTTACATTTGCGAACCATTTTATCATGAAAGTAGAATGACAGAGAGGTCATTTGGGAATTTGGTTTCTATTGATTTGAAGTAACAAACCCATCAGATAGTATGTCATCCTATGCGGCATTTATACCATATAGTGTGTGAATATATTGCTCTTAAAAAAACACGATAATCGCTAGTTTCATTTGCAGTACTTTATCCCAAGCGACAATGTTTACTTCATTTAGCAGGTCAGTTGATACAAGGGGGATAACTCCTTACCTGTGGCCTGACTGATGCTATGATAAAACAGGCGAATCGGTATACATTAACAATAATAGAAAGAAAAAAAACATTACAATATGGGTTTGATTACGGATGCGAAGGCAAACGGTTGGGATTAAAATCAGGGAAGAGTGAAAAAACGATAGTTGGGGAACTTAAGTATTTGTTTGTCAATATAATTGCCTATGGGCTATTTAACAAACATACAGTTTTCCGTGTACAGTAATATATTGTTGTCACTGGTTTTGTTTCTGAGTCCATTTTCTGTCTGCGTTTTAGAGCTTCAGAGATCAGAACGACTCAGAAACGTTTTATCAATATACGCATCCACTTAATTATTGTTTATATTTTGTTTGTTGTTGAATATATTATAAACAGCTTAGATCATGTGAAGGCTGGTGCCTAAGTGGACACCACATACCAGAACAATGCAACAGAAAGGAAAGATATACTTGCTAAGTGTTGCATAGGGAGCAGCGGATCAATTAGGATTCATAAATACTCCCGTGGTAGAAGACATGGAAGGAAAACACCAGATTCAACAGGTATCCCACATTTGTCGCCTTTCACGATAATTTGCACAATAAACAGTAATATAATCTGTCCATATCATTCTCTGTGCATATATAAGTGGAACTAATCTTAGTTTTGCTATCGATATCAAAAGAAGAAAAAGTAGTTATTTTTGTTATATATTGTTCATGATTATCAAATGTGTTTATCTTCAATACGCTCATATTGATAGCGTATTTCTACCAGTATAAAGAGAATATCTATGCTTTTGAATAGGATCTCATATCTGGTTTATTCCGGTTCAATGACAAACAAAAAATTAGAGGGCGTGTTAACCCGGAAGTTGCACATGTGTGTTTCCCACTGCATTTACAAGCCACATATTATAATGTTTATTGTCAAATTTGAAGCAGAAACATACTAATTTCCGTGTATGAATCACTCTAATACAACTTCCATTGAGACGTACATAACAAACAAAATAATTGCTTCACATCAATCAATCTTTCTTGATAATGATCAATTTCTGTTTGAAAACCTTGCTTTCTTGATCGATTAAACACATTATCCGGACTTTCCACAACTCTCAACCACTTTTTCACAGTAACTACATGAATGTAAAAGGTTTGTACTGCCTGACCACCTTTGGTGCAGAGAGTAGGGGCCCAATAAGGGATACAGATGAATAGATTCAATATCCTTCATCTGCCGTTAGGATGAAGGTGTTTTGACCAAATTTTAACAGTAGCATCCTATGGGGAAGGGAAATCAATTTTGAATAAATGGTTGGTCTGAACACTCCGTGGGCAGAGAGACGGAGGTAAATTGGGAAAATAGAAAAATAGCTTTAGTATCCGTCTCCTTCTGTAGGAATGACAGGATTTTGTCCATATTTGGTCTAAACCATCATTTGATGAAGGGTACTAAATTATAAAGTATAAACAGTGGGTTTGACGCCCCTAGGATCAAAGGCGCGAGTACAAATAGGGGAAACATAGCAAAATCTCCCTTTTCCTGTACGAATGACAGGATTTTGTCCAATTGCATACAAACATAACCCCTGACTAACCATGTAATACATGTACACTACCAGCAACATTTGGCTATTTCAACTTCAATTTTGCTAACATTTCCAGGTGAGTGATACAGGCCCTCTGGTCAATGTTAAGGTCAGACTGATGATCAATATGATACATGTTGTTCATTTCGCATCCTTTGTCGGAACTAGGGTTATTTGTCCAGAGGTTATTTTTATTAAGGACATTATAACATTCATTACACTTGCATATATTGTCTTAACAGTAAGACATACGTCCATTTGATGATAACTTCAAATCAGCAATACTTTTAATTGGCAAATATTATAGATCAAAATAGGCCAAAGGTCAATATGTAGGTCTCCAAACGTCAAAGGTCATTTTGATAATAAATATCAGGTAAGACGATGCATGTTAGTCTTGTACATTTTACATCAAAGGACAATATATGTATGGGTCATCGAAGGTCATAGGTCATTCTACTTTAATGTATAGTGATAGGAATATCCATATGTAATATTTTTCATTAATGAAACCAATTGTCAATGTGTCTGCCCCAACTAGAGCTTTAACACACCATGTGACATTAAACTAGTGACCGTGATTAGCAGCTATACAAAGAGCACTGGTGTATGTGTAAAAGACGCATAAATTTAAGCCTGACCTTTTCAGGGATTTAATTGCACTTTTAACGGAAGTTACCTGGATAAGCGCATGCGCATAGTCGCTTTTCACAATAGGCAAAAACAACAAATATTTTTAACTGACAAATACAGGTATATTATATGCAAACGCTTTAAATAGAACAAAATCGAAATAAAGTATTCACACTGCTAAACTGCGTACACATTGTATATGACAAGGAATGATACAAAGCTGAAATACCTTACACGCATATTCCTTAACAATATACCTTTTTTAGTTTATTCATACAGGTTCATTTCTAAAGAATCAGTCTATTTTTCATTACAATGAGGATATAGCGCGGTGTGTAGTTATCTATGGTCACGTCTGGAGCACATTATGATTAAAGATGTCACGCAAGACCTATCAAATATTTTATGTTGACATATCAGATTATCTGTTGATACCACTCAACTGTTTAGGCGATATCTGCTGAACGTAATTATTGATTTAACCATCGTCTAGTTTATATTTTTAAATGGAACTAGTTTTGATAAAGAAAAGAAAGAGTCATGATTTTTGTATATATCTATTTCTGTAAAGGAATAATCTTCATGAAATATTTCCACTAAATTGTTCGTTACAGATGCATTACTGGCTTATTCTTGATCAAGCATAAAACAATACCCCAACAATATAATAAACATGTTTAACTACTACAGTAGGACTCGATTTCTTCCATCGAATTATCGAGTTACGGATGTCGTCATAATCTGTTATGTCAACATAAAATATGGATGTGTCGCATTTATGTTTTCGTAATGTCGATATGTTATCACATTTTCCAAGATAACGTCGGTAGGTAACTCGGTTTATATTCCTGTTATACTTGGTGTGATATCGACTTGCCACCTGTTTATGTGTTGTGCGCACGATGTGTGCACGGTGTGTAAACGATGTGTGCACGATGTGCGAACGATAAAAATCTGGACGATCATTGCTTTTCAACTTTTGTGCGGACGATGGACGATCGTAGTGCGACTCTCGTAGACGACTCTCGTGGACGACTCTCGTGGTTGGTGTAAATTGAAGAATGACTTAACAATATATACGGTTTCGTGTTTAAACATATTAACTTGATTGTGTAAGTGTGTTTCAATATTCTAGCTTCATCTTTTAGATTATCTTTCTATCTATTCTTTCTAAAATTTAGAAATGGGGTTTTCGGTGTATTTTAAACGCGACCTCAATCGACTCATGTACAATTACAACAAATATGGAGTTGGTCCAATATACAGATACACATATCCACTTTGTACAGGTACGTACCTGGACCGTAGTTTTCCTCACCCAGGGTACTTACGTAACTCGTCGAGGTGTGAATTCCAGATAGAGGGGAGATATAGACCGAACCGAATGCAACTAACAAATACTACACGTCCAGTTGTGTTTTCATAACAGTCATACGGTATAATACAGCAGCTCCCTGTGTCCTGCACAGGTTAGGTAAAACTCAGTTAAGTCATCAAATTGTTATTTACCTGTAGCCAAACCCATTCCTGACAGTCTAACGCGTACGGTCACTGTACTATTGTGTAACACGCATTGTAAAACTGTACAACATCTTGATTAGTTTGATGGGAAATTAATATCTACAGTGTGCATTATTGCATACGAGCCTTAGCTTTCGTATGTTTTTTATTCCGTAATATTAATCAACAAATGTGTGGACGATGTGTGGACGTCGTGTGCACGATTTATGCACGATATGAGCTCGCTACTTTTGGTGCGTTGTTCGGTTACAAAACTGTATACATAAGTTAGTAAACAAATATGTTCCCCACATAATTATCATGAGACGTACTTATGCTAATTAGGTCTGTTCAGCGATACGCCTCGTTTTGGGTTCCGTATGTCGGTTATGTATCCAGGATAAGAGGAAATCATATACATGTAGCGGACAACCAGATTAAGACAGGCTTACCGACCCACTTTTATATTTGAAAATATAATTTACGTCCATTTGCATTTCACTAATAATAATGATTCAACTTTCCTTGCCAACGAAACATATCGGTTAATTGTCGGGATGTCCTACATGCATACGACATTGAAAGTCTTTGCCAGTAGAAAACTATCCAGGCAAGTTAAGACTTGTGTACAGACAACAAAACAAGATTAAAAATACTGAAATTCACAACAACAACCACCTTATCGAATGGCCGTGCATTTTTATTGATTAGTAGAGCAGAACATTTACTTCCTCATTGGATACCCGTGCGCTTGCGACGGAGTAGACACAAATCTTTCGTTTGATACAGTACGCAGTATATGTAAAATGACGGTGTGTAATATCTGCCTGCTGGAGGTTCTGTGTATCTTATCAACTTTAAAGATTGTCAACACATCAGGTATGATTGAATGTACACTTTCTGTTTGTCCTTCATTCTAATAGTAAACATATACGTCACGTTGATCTGGACCTATATGTTATAGCACAAACCTTAAGTGTTTAACCATGGATAATGTTGCTTGTACAACAGTTAGGGGTTAATACATAGCGTGTACCTAAGGTTCATGTTTTATACTTCCGCATTGCACAGTTACTGTGACAAAGTATCAAACGATATGCATTTATTTCAGGGTATGCACGTATAAAAAAACACATAAACAATATACTAGCTATGCTTTAAATATTGCATGACAATGGTGCTGTGTTTCTACTGTTCTTTCTTTGGTACTGGCATCGGTAGGCAGATTGATATGTTTTACAACACTGTTCGGAAGTCAATGGCACTAAAACATTAGTCTATCCAACTACAAATTCCATAAATATATGACCTACAGTAGCCAAGGGGCTTATGGTCTTTATAGATTAGTAATATAATATTATATCTATTTTGTGTTTAGATAATGTAAATGTTTTGAGTTTTAACGTGTGTAACTTGTCGACCTCATAATGTCTATTTTGTTTGGAATTACTTCCTTGTCCCACATATAGGTCTCATAAGTAATAACGACAGTATGATCCGATATGAACATTGGATCTGAACAAGCAAATGGTTCGTCGGATGCGTATTACTTGAATACATATATAGATTGGCAAAACAGCAATGATGCCAGTATGAAGCAAAACATGTAGTACCAACAGAACAGACAAAGATATTTGTCAGATATTCAGGTTGATTCGCACATTTTTCAACATAAATAACATTTAATAGATATCAACAGTCACTATGAGATAACAAACATACAACAAAAACAGGGTAGTTAAGTATGTGAAGCATGCTGTTGTCCTTGACATCATAGGGCCTATTTCATTACAGTTTGATATGTCCTGAACATGGATGAAGCTATTACCAAGTCATTAAGAAAACAGACTTATTCAGTAATCGACCTAACTAGGAAAGAGTTGTCAACATTACTTTGCAGGAATAGATAAAAAGCTTTGTTTTTACAATAATGTTTCGGGTAAATAAAACCATGATGACTTTTTGAATCAGTTTTAGCTAACCTAGCCCGAAAAGCCAGTGGGCTTATGCCGTGGGGCCGTGACCGTCGTCCTTCCAACGTCAACTTTTGACTTTAAACGACTTTTTCTGAATAATCAAAATGCCCATGATGATGATATTTGGCAAATACCATGCTTGGTTGGATTAAGGGCTAATACATATGTTCAAATGAATGACCTTGATTTATATTCACGGTCACAGGGGTCAATTTGTTTTTAAACCTGCAAACGGCATCTCATGAATAACCATAAGGCCCAGAATGTTGATATCTGGCCAGTAACATGCTTGGATGAAGGGCTGTATAGTTTTTTAGCTCTCCTGACCCACAGGGGTATGATGTATATAATTCTTTCAACAGGTTATTTTGAATGACTACGAGTCAAGACACTGCTATTTTGCCTGTAGCTTTATCTTAGTCCACGTTTAAAGTTCAACAAGTCCCCATAATAGATGCTGTAGTCACCTAAAATTCTAACCCGCTGAACAGTCATATTGAAGACCTCAATTGAAAATCGGAACTTATATAATTTATTATGTGATTTGAATATGTTGAACTTGTACATAGGCTATGAAAAATAATAAAACATAAAGGTTGATGTTGTTATACAAAAAATGCTCACCTGACGGATAACATGTCAATCTCTTTTGCGACCCATATGAGTGCTTAGAAATGACCAATAATTTAAAGATGATTTATATGCCAAGGTCATGCGGAGCTTTATTTGTCTTCTTTTAGCTGTTGAGAGGAGTTCCTTCCTAAAAAAGATAGAATCTGCCATGGATAATCACTTTAAACATAGTAAAATATAAAATGAACTTCAGATGATATGCCATTTAATAACAGTATGTGATGTTATGAAGGCGCTAGAGATGTTATTAACATTGAAACTGAATAGTGCGATGATGTTCAAAACATGTCTAGCGTTTTAATATTGTGATGTAGTTGTTAGTGATGTGACACCTTAAAAGTTAGGATCAGTACTTTGCTAGAGTGAAGTCCCTTGTGGAGCTTTTTTGTTAGGAGAGAAAACATGTCGTGTGCAAAAGCGGAAAGCGATGTGTGCACGTGTGTTGTCAACACATCGGCGAGGCAGGATGCAGGTGGTGGAGGGGTAGCTGGACCCTGAACACGTTGTTGCTCCCGGAGCGGGGTTAAACTTATATAGCTGTAGATGCAGGTAAGCTGCTGTGTTGTTTCATTTATAGTGTGGTGAATTTTGAGTGAAAAGTGTATAGGTTTGTTATTTGGAAACCTTGAAAACATCGTGATTGTTATATTTCGTATGTAAAATGGCTGCCCATGCAGTAGTCGATATAAGGTGAATATTTTGTTGTTGTAGTGGTTTTGTAAATGGCCTAGTACTCGACATTGGTGATGACAGGGCTGGCTTGGCCTCTTCCATACAGTCTATATAGAGATATGGGCATGCAGTGTTAGCGTCTAGAGTTTAGTGTCCCAGATATGTGAAATGATGATGTGGCAGTGTTAGTGCCGTGAGGTGAAGGTCACGTGTGGGATTCTGTTGTGTGGCGGAATCCTTTCGAGGTCACAGGGTACCAGAAGTGATGTGGCGGGTTGACATAGTGAAGTATTGTGTGTACCACAGTTGGTGTATAATAGTCCGGTGTCGGTTATAAACTGAATTAAGGAAGTTATATGTGTCCATGTATATATCAGTAAGGTAATACTGAGTATATGTATATATAACTGTAATAATTATACGCTCCATAGAATATGTTCGTTGCCAACTGCGTTCATACTACCGTATACGCAGTCAATATTAAGGTCAATCCTTAAATATACACCTCTAGCTCCTTTTATTAAGTTCAATATCTTTCAATAAATTAATGATTAATATATATTGTATACTACAGTATATGTCACGGCTATTTACACATGTTCTGCGAAATCAAAATTGCACCGAAGATCAACAGCACATAAATAAATTTCAGAATGTCAAATTATATATTACTGGTCAAACACGATACGAACAATCAACATAAACAATAAACATATTTTTTCCGCATATTTTACCAAAGAAAACTTTTAAATATCGAAGGTCAATGTTTGGGACAGAAAAGGTCAAACTGATGATCAATATGATACATGTTGTTCATTTTGCATCCTATATCGAAGGTCAAAGTACAGACAAACTAGGGTTATTTGTTCAGGGGTTATTATTATTAAGGACAGTATACCATTCATTACACTTGTATATATTGCCTTAACAGTAAGACATACGTCAATTTTATGATAACTTCAAATCAGCAATATTTTTAATTGGCAAATCTTAAAGATCCAAAGAGGCCAAAGGTCAATATGTAGGTCTCCAAACGTCAAAGGTCATTTTCATAATAAATACCAGGTAAGACGATACATGTTAGTCTTGTACATTTTACATCAAAGGACAACATATGTATGGGTCATCGAAGGTCATAGGTCATTCTACTTAAATGTATAGTGATGGGAATATCCATATGTAATATTTTTCATTATTGAATCCAATTGTCAATGTATCTGCCCTAACTAAAGCTTTAACACACCATGTGGCATTAAACTAGTGACCGTGACTATCAGCTATACAAAGGGCACTGGTGTATGTGTAAAAGACGCGTAAATTTAAGCCTGACCTTTTCAGGGATTAAATTGCACTATTAACGGCAGTTACCAGGATAAGCGCATGCGCATAGTTGCTTTTTACAATTGGCAAACACAACTGACAAATACAGGTATATTATATGCAAACGCTTTAAATAGAACAAAATCGAAATAAAGTATTCACACTGCTAAACTGCGTACACATTGTATATGACTAGGAATGATACAAAGCTGAAATACCTTACACGCATACTCCTTAACAATATACCTTTTTTAGTTTATACATACAGGTTCATTTCTAAAGAATCAGTCTATTTTTCATTTCAATGAATATATAGCGCGGTGTGTAGTTATCTACGGTCACGTCTGGAGCACATTATGATTAAAGAAGTCAAGCAAGACCTATTAAACATTTTATGTTGACATATCAGAATATCTGTTGATACCACTCAACTGTTGAGGCGATATCTGCTAAACGGAAGAATTGATTTTATCATCGTCTAGTTTATATTTTTAAATGGGACTAGTTTTGATAAAGAAAAAGAAAGAGTCATGATTTGTGTATATATCTATTTCTGTAAAGGAGTAATCTTCATTAAATATTTCCACTAAATTGTTCGTTACAGATGCATTACTGGCTTATTCTTAATCAAACATAAAGCAATACCCCAACAATATAATAAACATGGTTAACTACTACAGTAGGACTCTATTTCTTCCATCGACTTATCGAGTTACGGATGTCGTCATAATCTGTTATGTCAACATAAAATATGGATGTGTCGCATTTATGTTTTCGTAATGTCGATATATTATCACATTTCCTAAGATAACGTCGGTAGGTAACTCGGCTTATATTTCTGTTGTACTAGCTGTGATATCGACTTGCGACCTGCTGATTTGTTATACAGTTGTGGGATCGATGTGTACACGGTGTGTGAACAATGTGTGCATGATGTGCAAACGATAACAAATCTGGACGATCATTGCTTGTGCACTTTTGTGCGGATGATGGACGACCGTAGTGCGATAATTATCGTGGTTGGTTTAGATTGAAGAATTACTTAACAATATATACGGTTTCGTGTTTAAACAAATCAACTTGATTGCGTAAGTTTGTTTCTATTCTAGCTTCATCATTAGGCTTATCTTTCTATCTATACTTTCTTAAATTTAGAAATGGTGTTTTCGGTGTATTTTAAACGACCTAAATCGACTCATGTAAAATTACAACAAATATGGAGTTGGTCCCATATACATAATAAACATATCCACTTTGTACAGGTACGTACCTGGACCGTAGTTTTCCTCATCCGTGGTATTTACGTAACTCGTCGAGGTGTGAATTCCACGTGAAGGGGAGATATAGACCAAACCGAATGCAACTAACAAATATTAAACGTCCAGTTGTGTTTTCATAACAGTCATACGGTATTATATATCATCTCCCTGTGTCCTGCACAGGCTATGTACAACTCTGGTCACCCATCAAATTGTTATTTACCTGTAGCCAAACCCATTGCTGACAGTCTAACGGTCACTGTAATATTGCGTAACACGCATTGTAAAACTGTACAAAATCTTGATTTGCGTAGAGAAGCGCACAACGGGGCGAACGATTTTGAAATCGCACATTTGTGTGGACGTCGTGTGCAAGATGAATGCACGATGTGCACACGCTACTCTTGGTGCGTTGTGCAGTCACACAACTGTATTCCCACAGAATTATCATGAGACGTACTTATGCTAATTAGGTCTGTTCAGCAATATGCCTCGTTTTCCTTAACAAGATACCTTTTTTAGTTAATTCATACAAGTTCATTTCTAAAGATTCATTCTATTTTGTATTTCAGTGAGGACAAAGCGCGGTGTGTAGTTACCTGCGGTCACGTCTGGAGCACATTACAATAATATCCCCATCGACGTATGATTATAGACGTCACGCGAGACCTATTAAATATTTTATGTTGATATATCAGATTATCTGTTGATAACACTCAACTGTTTAAGCGATATCTGCTGAACGGAAGAATTGATTTTACCATCGTCTATTTTATATTTTTAAATGGGATTAGTTTTGATAAAGAAAAGAAAGAGTCATGTTTTTTTGTATATATCTATTTCTGTAAAGGAATAATCTTCATAAAATATTTCCACTAAAGTTTTCGTTACAGATGCATTACTGGCTTATTCTTAATCAAGCATGAATCAATACCTAAACAATATAATAAACATATTTTAACTACTACATGTACAGTAGGACCCTATTTCTTCCATCGACTTATCGAGTTACGGATGTCGCCATAATCTGTTATGTCAACATAAAATATGGATGTGTCGCATTTATGTTTTCGTAATGTTGATATATTATCTCATTTCCCAAGATAACATCGGTAGGTAACTCGGCTTATATTCCTGTTATACTAGGTGTGATATCGACTTGCCACCTGTTTATGTGTTGTACGCACGATGTGTGCACGGTGTGTAAACGATGTGTGTACGATGTGCGAACGATAAAAATCTGGACGATCATTGCTTGTACACTTTTGTGCGGACGATGGACGATCGTAGTGCGACTCTCGTTGACGACTGTCGTGGTTGGTGTAAATTGAAGAATGACTTAACAATATAAACGGTTTCGTGTTTAAACATATTAAACATGTGTAAGTGTGTTTCAATATTCTAGCTTCATCTTTAAGCTTATCTTTCTATCTATTCTTTCTTAAATTTAGAAATGATGTTTTCGGTGTATTTTAAACGCGACCTCAATCAACTCACGTACAATTACAACAAATATGGAGTTGGTCCAATATACAGATAAACATATCCACTGTGTACAGGTACGTACTAGGACCGTAGTTTTCCTCACCCGGGGTACTTACGTAACTCGTCGAGGTGTGCATTCCAGTTGCAGGGGGGATATAGACCGAACCGAATGCAACTAACAAATACTACACGACCAGTTGTGTTTTCATAACAGTCATACGGTAAAATTCGGCAGCTCCCTGTGTCCTGCACAGGCTAGGTAAAACTCAGGTAAGTCATCAAAATGTTATTTACCTGTAGCCAAACCCATTCCTGACAGTCTAACGCGTGAGGTCACTGTAATATGGTGTAACACGCATTGTAAAACTGTACAACATCTTGATAAGTTTGATGGGAAATTAATATATACAGTGTGCATTATTGCATACACGCCTTAGCTTCCGTATGTTTTTTATTCCGTAATATTAATCAACAAATTGTACAAAATCGCACAGTTGTGCGCACCATGTGTGGACGATGTGTGGACGTCGTGTGCATGATTTATGCACGATATGAGCACGCTACTTTTGGTGCGTTGTTCGGTCACACAACTGTATAAATAAGTTAGTAAAAACATATGTTCCCCACAGAATTATCATAAGACATACTTATGCTAATTAGGTCTGTTCAGCGATATGCCTCGTTTTGGGTTCCGTATGTCGGTTATATAGCCAGGATAAGAGAAACTCATATACATGTTGGGGACAACCAGATTAAGAAAGGCTTACCGACACACTTTTATATTTGAAAATATAATTTACGTTCATTTGCATTTCAATAATAATAATGATTTAACTTTCCTTGCCAACGAAACCTGTCGGTTGATTGTCGGAATGTACTACATGCATACGACATTGAAAATCTTTGCCAGTAGAAAACTATCCAGGCAAGTTAAGACTTGTGTACAGGCAACAAAACAAGATTAAAAATACAGAAATTCGAAACAACAACAACCTTATCGAATGGCCGTGCATTTTTGTTGTTTGGTAGAGCAGAACAGTTACTTCCTCATTGGATACCTGTGCGCTTGCGACAGAGCAGACACAAATCTCCCGTTTTATACGCAGAATATATAAAATGAAGGTGTGTAATATCTGGCTGCTGGAGGTTCTGTGTATCTTATCAACTTTAAAGATTGTCCACACATCAGGTATGATTTGATGTACACTTTATGTTAACCCTTCATTCTGATAGTAAACATATACGTCACGTTGATCTAGACCTACATGTTATATCACAAACCTTAAGTGTTTAACCATGGGTAATGTTGCTAGTACAACAGGTAGGGGTTAATATATAGCTTGTACCTAAGGTTCATGTTTTATACTTCCGCATTGCACAGTTACTGTGATATAGTATCAAACGATATGCATTCATTCCAGCGTATGCAGGTATAAAAACAACACATAAACAATATACTAGCTATGTTTCAAATATTGCCTGACCTAATGGTGTTTCTACTGTTCTTTCTATTGTACTGGCATTGGTAGGCCGATTGATATGTTTTACAACACTGTTCGCAAGTCAATGACAGTAAAACACTGGTCTATCAACCAACACATTTTATATATATTTAACTTATCCAAGGAGCGTATGGTCTTCATAGATTAATAATATCGTATTTTATCTATTTTGTGTTTACGTAATAAAGGTGTTTGCCGACTTCATAATGTCTTTTTTGTTAGAATTACTTCCTTGTCCCACATATAGGTCTCATAAGTAATAACGACAGTATGATCCGATATGAACATTGGATCTGAACAAGCAAATGGTTCGTCGGATGCGTATTACTTGAATATATATATAGGCAAAACAAAAATAACGACAGTACGAAGCAAATGCTTGTCGGATAGGTTTTACTTAAATACAAATAACGGCAAAAAATGGTCAACCAACAGAACAGACCAATATATTTGTCAAATGTTCAGGTCGATCCGCCCATTTTTCAAGATAGAAACATTAACATTTACATTTCATAACATTTAACAGAGATCAACAGTTACTATGAGACAACAAAAATACAACAAAAACAGAGTAGTTAAGTATGTGAAGAAATCTGTTGTTATTGCATATCCTGGCTACCAGCCCCCAAGTTTTATGTAGAACCTCTCAACCGCGTTTTACTACTAGCCTTTCTCTCCCTTGTTTAGAACTAAGGGGCTGGTCAAATCTGAAAAACAATCATACCCCGGAATAGTGGTGAGTGCAGAAAGGTCACGCCCATATTACATTACTGAGATCATGCAGATTTGTTTCGGTTATCAAGATGTGGATGGGATGTGACCAGGGGCAGTTTTATTACCCTGGGTTCACAAGTGATTGTTGGAGTGGGGTGATTGGGCAAGAGGGGGTTCCTTTAGCTGCGTTCATATGGTATTGGCTATACATTTTAGGGCCTGTTTTATTACAGTTGGATATGTCATGAACATGGATGAAGCTATTACCAAATCATTATGAAAACTGAATTATTCAGAAATCGACCTAACTAAGAAAGAGTTGTCAACATTACTTTGCTGGAAAAGATATTTTATTTGGTTAACAAATTGGAAGTAGAAAAAGCTTGACTTTTAAGATTGCCCCATTTTGTTTTCATAAACTATAAAAGATGCTCTGTTGGATTGCATATGTTGTTGTTGTGTCACTATTGATAGCTTTGATGAATTATGAAGCTGAAAGCCTTACTCAGCCAGATATAAAAAAAAAAACTTTTAATTTACAAAAAAAAATTGGGGAGATAAAACCATGACGCCTTTTTGAATCAGTTTTAGATAACCTAGTCCGAAGACCAAGTGAGCTTATGCCTTGGTGCCGTGTCCGTCGTCCGTTCGACGCCAACTTTTTAATTTTAACGAATTTGACCAATAACATGCTGGAATTAAGGGCTCATAAACATGTTCAAATTAATGACCTTGACTACTTATATTTGTGGTCACAGGGGTCAATATTGTTTTAAGCCTTTAAACGTCAGCTTCTGATTAACCGTAATGCCCCGAATGTTGATATGTTGCCAGTAACATGCTTGGATGACGGGCTATATAGTTTGTAGCTCACCTGGCCCGCAGGGGTCAGATGTATTTAAATATTTTAACATGTTCTTTTGAATGACTTTGAGTAAAGACACTGCTCTGTAGCTTTTTCTTATTCCACGTTTAAAGTTCAACAAGCCCCCTATAACAGATGCTGTAGTCACCTAAAATTATAACCCCCTGATAAGTCATATTCAAAGACCTCAATTAAAAATCGGAACTTATATATGTAATTTGAATATTTGAACTTGTACATAGGCTATGAAAACAAAAGCATTAAGGTAGATGATGTTGTCATAAAAAATGCCCACCGGACTTATAACATGTCAATCTCTTTTGCGACCCAACTTAGTGCTAAGCAATGACCAATAATTTAAAGATCATTTATATGCATAGGTCATGCGGAGCTTTATTTGCCTTTTCCTAGCTGTTGAGAGAAATTCCTTCCTAAAAAAGATAGATGTTGCCATGGATAAAATATTCAAGTCGATCCTTATAATTTAATCTACTATACACAATCCCTGTGGAAATCCACTTTTATTGATGAACTCTTTTCTCTTAGAAATTATTACGCCGCTGTAGCAGCCAATCGAAAGCGACGTTAAAAATGGCGACGTCACTTTTTTAAGTTATGGACTGATAACATAAATTCCTAAGCCAATGACAATGCTTGTTACAAGCAAGATTAAATTATAAACATTGAAGCTGAAAAATGCGATAATGTTTATAACATGTCTAGCGTTTTAATATTAACACTTCATGTCAGGAAAGGACACATCATATGATGTTAAAGTGGTTTTGATGGTTATAGGTCTGTTTAATTACCTGTAAAAAAATGTTACTCGGACGTTTCACAATGATTTTTGGACATTGCCATAGCAATAATCATCTACTTTTGAGGCTGGTATGCCTCTCCTCACCTAGTTAAAGAGAAATCACCTCCGCATGACTTAGGTATGTAAACGAACTTTCAGTAATATGTCATTTCGTAGCATTCAGCTAAATCACTAAAGAGATTGGCATGCTATAAGTCCAGTGAAATATGTTTATGAAGACATCAGCCTTGATGCTTTATTATTGACTACATTAGCCTGGTTTTGTAGCTTTCAAGTAGTCTACGTACAAGTTCAATACATTTTAATTACAAACATGTATACATATTCCGATTTTTTATGAGGGTCTGTGAATATGACATACTAGGAGGTGGAAATTTAAGGTGACTATTACTTTTTTTAGAAGCTTGTTGAACCTTAAGGTTACAGGTCTGAGATTAACACAAGGTGGTCGATGCAGGCCCATTGGGATTGTTTTTATACCATGTAGTTAGCATAAAAATGTATTTAGTGGCTAAAAATACAAACATAATATACATAACATCATTAAATGTATATTGTTTGCATCAGCATAATGTCATAACAAAAATGACAGAATACATTAAAGGCCCATTGTTTACTAGTTCAACCAGTATGAAGTCAGAAAAGGGGATGAAAGCAATAACAGATAAGGTGCTGACCAGCCTGCGGTGATCAGATAGTCAAATTACAAATCTTATCCATATTTGACCAATCTCTAGAATCAGGTATCCAAGTGATGAAACTTATAAGAGTTATTTTTGTTCTAAATAATTAAATATTCTAGAGACGGTGGCCATTATTGTGCAAACGTGTGTTCTTGAGGTAAAGTGAATTAACACAAAAAAACCTAAATAAAACCAGTGAGGAAAATTCAGAATATAATTGTTCGTGCATGGTGCCCCTGCAAAGATTACACATACATGTACCACACTGTACTTAAGTCTCCTGTTGAATCATTTAAATGTACATTTCTGGAAAAATCTAAACATAAACATATTATCATCTCATTTTTAACTAAAGGCCAAGTGAGCTTATGCCGTGGTGCGGTGTCCGTCGTCCGTCCGTCTGTCCTGCGTCAACTTTTTTACTTTATACAACTGTTTTTCCTGTATAACCAAGAAGCCTAAAAGGGTTGATATTTGGCTAGTAGCATGATGGCATAGAGGACTACCAAGTTTGTTCAAATACATGACCTTCGCCGATTTTCCAGGTCAAAGGGGTATACTATGTTAAAATCTTTTAACAACTTCTCCTTAATAACCAGAACGCCGAGGATGGTGATATTTGGTCAGAAGCTTGCTGGGATCAAGGGCTTCCAAGTTCATTCAAATGAATTATCTGAACCTGAATAAAGGTCACTGGGGTCAAATATGTTTAAAATCTTAAAACGACTTCTTCTGAATATTCACAAGGCCCAGAATGATGACATTCGGCCATAAGAATGCTTGGATGAAGGCCTACCAAGTTAGTTCAAATGAATGAACTGGACCTGTATTCAAGAGCACAGGGGTCAAATATGTTTAAGATCTTAAAACGACTTCTTCTTAACATCCATTAGGCCAAGAATGTTGATGTCTGGTAATTAACATATTACGATGTAGGGCTACTAATTTTGTGAAAATGAATGACCTTGACCTTTCGTTAAGGTCATTCGGGTCAAATATGTTTTAAGTGTTTAAACAACTTCGTCTGAATAACCAAAAGTCCAGGATGATGATATTTACCCCGTAACATGCTGGGATGAAGTGCTACCAAATTTGTTCAAATTAATGGCATTGACGTTTATTCAAAGTCACAGAGGTCAAATGTGTTCAAAATCTCTTAACGACTTCTTCTGAGTAACCAGAAGGACCAGGATGATAATATTTAGCCAGTGGCATGCTAGGATGATGGGCTTCCGGGTTTGTTAAAATGAATGACCTTGACTCATAGTTATGGTCACATGAGTCCAATTTGTTTAAAATCTTCAATGACTTCTGCTGAATAACCATCAGGCCTAGAATACTGATATCTAGCTAGTAGCTTGCTTGGATGAACGCCTACCACATTTGTTAACATGAATAACCTTGACCTCTAGTTAAGGTCACAGGAGCCAAATTTATTTTAAAATCTTTAAACGACCACTTCTGAATAACCTGAAGCATAGAATGCTGATATTTGGGAAGAAACATGTCTGAATAAAGGTTTATCAAGTCATTTGAATGACTTTGACCCACTTTCAAAGTCAAATTTGGTCAAATATGTATAAATGTGTAATGACCTTATCTCAAAAAACAAAAAGTCTATGGTGTTGTTATTTGGCAAGTTACATGTAGCATGCGCATAGTCGCTTTTATGATAAAGGGCTATTCATTTTGTTCCGTTTGATGAGCCTGTTTGACTTTCAATATCACAGGGGTAAAACGTTTTAAAATCTTTTAACATGTTCTTTTGAATAAATACTGATATTTTACATGTAGCTTTATTTTAGATCACTGTTAAGGTTACAAGTGTGAGATTAACACCAGATGGGCCTTTTGTTATCTCTTATCGTTATTCATTTATTTTGTTATTGTGCGATTTGTTTTTGTTGGGGCATTGTCTGTGACTTCTTTAAGGCGATTTTCTTATGTAGACGAAATTGTCGGTACATATTCAATGCATTTTTCTCACTGGTTTATTAACTAACTTACACTATTGTAACAATTATAATTCATAACCACTACAAGAACATTTACTTTTATCATGTTACGTTCATATTATCCCACATTTCTAACCGTTGACCTCTGTTTGATACCTAGTCTAGTGGAAGCGACCAAGTCTGCCATTTTGATGGGGTATATATGCACTAACATCATCATATTTCATAAGTAATAACTGTTTTTGTTCGTTTATGGCTGTTTTTAAATTATATCAATTAGCTGCATATGCATTGTATCATTTATTTTAAAACTGAGAAGAAATCTTGATAATTATTATTAGCTGTTTCAAATAAAAGTCAAACATAAGTAAAAAAGGAAATCATCACTATAATAACAAAGTCCTGGTTCCTTTTTCTAGCTATTTTGTTGGCCTATTTGATACTTCTTTTATCCTTTATTGATATCAGTTCTCCATTATTTCTGCTCATCATTTCTGTCTTTTAATACTTTATTTTACCATCAACACATTTAAACACGGATGACCTTGCAATGCTGAGAATAGTGACAATGATTAATACTTTAGATCAGTAATACATACAATAATAATTCATTATTTTACAGTAAACACCAGTCGTAAGCCAAATGTCAAAATCACCACTCAAAGTTCAAACCACAGTGCTGCATACCTTAGTGGTAAGGCAGTAGATGGCTGTAGAACACAAAAATTCGACAAAGACAAATGTTGCTCACATACGCATCCAGATGAAACGGAGGCATGGTGGCAAGTATATCTAGAGGGACTGATCGTTATGGAATACGTCAAAATATACTACAGAGGTGAGTTATAAAATATTTTGATATTGTTTTCAACAAGAAAACACACTTCTGCTTTTTAAGGTTTTACGTGTTATTCGTGAGCTTTAGACGGTACTGCGTTGTCTGACTGCATGTCTTGAAAGTCTTATGTAACTCCACCCCATCCCACCCGTCTTCATATGGCACTGGTTATTGCGAAGTCGTGGATCCCAGAGTTGAGATTATTGACATTCAAAAACGATCTTTACATAATTAAGTTTATAAAGACTTTTATTTTTAGCTATAAATGGCTAAACGGCCCGTTAGGCCTACCCCGACAATGGTATAAACAACACAGGCTAGCTTGACATCATTTAACATAATAACACAGAAAGCAAAAGGCAATGCATATACAATGACGTATAACGTATACAATAAGCATGTCAGGTTGAATATGTTGTTTGTAATGCTTTCTATCAAGTTGACATTCTGACTAATGAATCGTCTCCACACCAGAGGTTTTCAAAATACGTTTCATATATAACCTGATTGGAAACATTACCGATAGAAAGATATTTTTTATCTAGATAAAAAAGACCTAGTTAATAATAAGGGCAAAACGGGAAGTGTTGTAAAGTAGGGCGTCCGAAAGTGAGTTGGAACTGAAATAAAAGTGTTACGCTACCGAACGTAGAAATATATGCTGCAGAAGTTTTATCCCAAAAAGAGAAAACAAATGAAAATCCCTTATTCCTCATTATGTTTCTGCATCGGTCGCCTGTTATAGAACTGTTATAAAATAGTCCGGTAAATACCTAGGAGCAAACGTAACTTGGTATCTAGTGCACTTCGTAGTGATAACAGGTAAAATTCAAGCTAAAGATGTGTAACTAATTTAAGCTTGTTAATTCCAAGTTGCCTTCTTATAGGAAAATGAAGAAAAAGTATGAGCTAGTCACATTTTGATTACTTTGTATACACGTCAGGAACATGGACATGTATATGCTGATAGTTGAATAAGGAAATACATCCCCTAACCACCACCCCCTCCCCTGGGTCTACTGTGTTCCCCACACCAACGTAGCAGGTATACAGCTGGCCTGGTGATACAGTAATAAATTGCCACTTGTAAAAATATTTCATGGTTGCAGGGCGCGGGAACCTGTAGATAAAGTTATATATATATGTAAAACATTGAAATAAGTTGATCGATTTATACTAATGAAAAATCAAATAAATTCAGTTCCACAGTGAGCCTCAAATTGTAATCATACAGTTACAACTTTACTTCAGTGGCATATTTAACGATGGTTGCCAGGGTTATGTAATCAGCCCTTGACACATATTTATATTTTCAATATGCTATATACCTGAGACTATATAACAATGACCACCCACTGACCATTCACCTGTGGTCACATGGGATTTTGCTGGGCTGAACCTAATCTTAACACCTTGAGAAAAGGCAATTTATCCTGTCAATTAATCCAGTCAATTGTCTGTTCAGTAGATATACACAGGTAAATCAGTACTTTGTTACAGGTAAGATAATGTGGCTGTCCCTTTGTGTGGAAATAACAGCCTCAGGTACAATTCAATTTTAAAATAGTGACTGGTTTACAAACTGAGCGTTACATAAATAGTCAACACTAAATGATAACACACTCCAGCATCAACTAATGGGTCACTGAACCATGATATAGCCTTTTGTACCTGTACGTTCAGTAGTCTATAATAAATACAGGGCACACATGTTAAAATTAAAGAACTAGAAGGTCTACTAGGAATTTAAATTAAAAAAAAAAAAAAAAAAAAATCAGGAAGGATTACAAGAAGATGAAATCAGTAAAGCAATGTTAGTACTTTTTTGAAAACACACTCAAATCTGTTCTTTAAAAAAATGATCCAAGGACTTGGAGCAGCTATCATTTATAGTTAATTAATCATGTTTTAAAAGATAATTACATATATATACTACTATGGTATTCTTTATGCATAAATCATCTACTCTTTGGTTAGGTGATCTGACAATACTATTAGGTGTTTATTTTGATTGGATAATACAAGTTTGATTTTTGTAGACATTTTTAAGTTTATTCTTATATCTTTTTTTATTGTGAACATGTTGTTAAACATTTTTTCTTACTAGAAACACAGACTTAGAGATCATCTAATTCCGTACTAGAAAAATTCCCATTTCCTTGTATCAATATTAGAGAGAGAGAGAGAATTTATACCGCTGGTGTGTAAACGGTTCTCCCTCTCCCCTCCCCCATATATACGTTCTACTCATATTTTTCCCTTGGGTTCTGATCAGGAGGTAAATGGAATTTGACATTATACCCTATACCATGTGTAATACACACACCTCCGGGCATTTCAACCCTAGTTTTTCCTGTGCTAGCTATAGGGATCAGACATGTTAAATTTACCTGTAGAAATGTCAATTTGGATACCTACATATTCTTAAATTGTTTCTGAATAAATGTTTTGTTGGAATTCAGATCTGCATTCCTGTAACTACAGTTAATTGTTACCCAATATGAATGAGATAATACATATATTCATAGTATTGGTTCTTATTCACAGTACATGTAGTTACCTACATAAGCTTTACTTTTTTTCCCAAAATAATCATACAAAAAAACAAAGATTAATGTAGACGAATCACTGTTATAACTATAAAGAAACTTCAATGGTGATTACGTCTTTAAGAAAAAGTATTATAAACTTTGAACCAATACATGTACCATGGATCGAAGTCTGCATGTTGTAATATTTCAATAGGGTATCACGCTCTATAGTCATTATGTTTTTTTTATAACAGGATAGTGCTTAAATAATTTTAAGTATATGAATATGTAACATCTAATCTTTTATATATTTATCTATTTATAGAGCAGGCAGGAGGGGAGAAAATCGTTGTATGTATAAACTGATCCAAAGGCCAGATATAAAATAAAAAGAAAAGTAACTTGTGAACTATAGTTAACTCCAGTGCACATCAATGCGAACTCATTTATGTGAACTCCAGTTTACTTCAGTGTTAACTCCAGTGCACAAGCTAGTGAACTGGAGTTCACGTTTCTTGTTAACTCCAGTGCACTACGCTACCAAGTTAAGTTTGCTCCCAACTGTATGAGCATAAGCTCTAGCGGAAAATCTTGTTTATCAAATTTAGATGAAAATCAAGATTATCTGCAACGACAACGATTTGGTGGCTATCAAATACACCAGTCGAACACGTCTGATTGGCGGAACGGTTCCCTTTGCCATAAAGACACAACATCAACGTCGGCTGCGTTGTCATTGACTCCAAAGATCCCATGTACAGGTAGCGCCCAGTACCTGACGATATACAGCGACAGACGGTCAGGAGGTATATCGTGGTACTCTGATAACGCTATTCTGGAGCTTTGTGAGGTAGAAGTGTACGGTACGTAACGGACATATTTAATCTTAAAAAAATGTATTCACACTAGTAGAGAATATTGAGGGATAATGAAACTTTCAAAAGTTGTATTTTAGACATAAATGAATATTCATGAATCCCTATCTGAGAAAAATGGTTAACCATAACAACATCTTAAAGTATCTGTTCATTTTTTTTATTTATTTTTTGTTCAGTTACAGGATAAGTGTCTTCCATTTCAATAATCATCTTTGGCATTTGTTAAGTTGTGTATGTCTACAAATCAGTGAATGATGTTGCAATAAAAAAGTTAGTATACATTTTTTTGCATCATAATAACGTTTTGGAATTTGTAACATATACAGAAATGTGTACATCCAAGGTATTTGACCAATGGTAGAACAATAAAATTTGGTTAATTATATAGTTTATTATTTCTCAAAATGATAACAGATGGGCTTATGTCCGAACTCGTATGCTAATATATTTCAGGTTGTCCGCTTGGGAAATATGGTGATGGTAATTGTGATTCAGATTGTGATGTGGGATGTGCCAAAAGTCTGTGTGATCCAGTGACCGGAGGATGTGCATGTAATTACATATATCTTAAGATATTAATACTGGAAAAAAAATACAACATGCCATTTGCCTGTTGAACGAGAGAAAACAAATCAGTTTATCATTATTTTTTTCTATTCATGAGAACCGTTGTGATAAACCTCAATTTAAGTATAAACAAAGAGTGAAGGTCGTCATCATACCTTGATTCAACATACTGTGCATTGTCTTTGCTTTGACGTCGTATAGGCGTTCGGTGCAGTGATATGTCTTATCATGCTAACAATAAAACATCATGCTCATTATAACATTTTCTTTTTCAAGTAATCAACGTATGATAAGCAGTCTTCAATATACATTTCCACGTATTATATAAAATATCCGTACAGAATTTTAAAATCATTTTCGAATTCTGACTTGTTCTTTGTGATTTTCCATGAAAGCGTGTACTTCCGGGTATTATGGAAGCCGTTGTAATCAGACTTGTCCGTTCAACTGTAAAGACAACCGATGTATGCAAAGCAATGGAGAGTGTGAAGGTATGTATCACTGAAAAGTATGAAAAACAACGTGTAGACAATTTTTTATTTAAGGATTAGTTAGGAAATTATATAACTTTATAAAAACTTTACAACATGGTTGTTAAATACCAGGTCCGATTATGATTTGGTGATGGTATATATCTCGATCATCAAAATGAAAATGAATTACATCATATTGAGGTGACATTGCGTTGGAAAAAATGAGGATTCTTAACTTATATTATATTGTTTATATTGCAATAAAGAAAAAAAACATTTAGCTGTTTAAGAGAGTATATAAGATATATAACACTGTCGCTGATACCAGATTATTGTTAATGCTTAAATTAAAGCATGCATGGACAAAAAAATCATTATAAGAAGCCCATTTATTAACTACAGTCAATCAAAGCTTATTTAGACACGCTTCATCTATATGTACACTGCATACGTATATGTGCATTATGCTCTAAAACTCTATGGATGTTTGAGAAAACTATGTCTAGGATATGCAAAGACTATGGAAACGGCTAACCTGCATAGGTAGAGAGAAAAAGTGACATGATTTATCCAAATGCATGTCGTAAGATGCGTCTAATGTGGAGCCCTTTCCATGATCCATGGCTGCTTTGAGCGCAATTCATGGATATTTAAAGGTTTACAAACGTAATGTTTACATACATATTAATCAGATGATTGGTTATAATTATTTCCTATCTTTCATATAAGTTTGCATGCAATACTAATGTTTTACTTCCATACAATATTACCAAGCTTTAGGACAATAACTGCAATAAGATTAATCAGTTTGGAAATCTGTGATATCAAACTCTTATTTTGTCGAGTGACATAAAAATATACATTTTCTCTCTCATCGTTGTACATGTACATAATACAAATATCTCACTCAGTAATAGCTTAACAACTGTTTACGTTGGTCTCCAAACGTTGCGACACGTTTAAAACGTGTATTGTTTGTGTAAAAGTAGTTGGTATCAAATAGGACGATTATAGAAGATGTGAAAAAATAGCAAGAAAGTAACTGTTCCTATGATCTGCTTTGCTTCCCATAACGCTGTCCGTATCCGCTCTGCATCCCTGTACACATCTTACTATACCCCTGCCTGCCTCCCCACACCAAAACAAGTGTATACACTCAAGCTTGGGTAAAATCTTAACAATATTTTCGTGATCAATATATCGCAGATGGAAACAATTGAAATTAAAAACAGAAGTTTAGCTTCACATATTTTTGTACTTTCAGCTTGCTTCAACGGCTTCTTTGGGGTGAAGTGTGATCGGTTATGTTTCTCTAATTGTGAAAACAACACATGCACACAAAATGAAGGAAAATGTACAGGTATGGTGACTTTGTTATTGAAAGTTGAGCAGAAAAATTGTTTGATGTAATTGTAAGACATTTCTACAAATCGAATCAGATGTATTTATATTTTCGTTTTGTATGCTCAAAGTAATGAATTTGAATTTTTGATACACATTTCATATGCTTGACTTGACTTCTAAATGTACTTGAAGATAGATACGATACAATTGTATTTGTATATGAAGAGAGACTTTTGTAAAATCGTATTTATGTTATATTCAAGCCTGCGTTTCTTTTTTTTGGTAAAGTAAAGTGAACGACGTATGTATTAAGTCTCAAATGACTGCTGGTGCTCTGTTTTATGTAAGCATGCAAACCTGGATATTATGGTGATTTCTGCAACACAAGCTGCCCGTCCAATTGTAAAGGGGATACATGTAATCAGACGAGTGGGTTATGTACAGGTAAGGTGATATGTGAGATTATTGACGAAGTAACAGAAGTACAATCATATAGTTATAATGCTAGGGTCAACGCCATTGGAGATTTAACATTAGCATCGACCCCCGCTTGGAATTTTGAAACAAGATAAATACATTAAGGTATGGATATATGAAGCTTAAATCAGGAACAGTTACATAGTTTCAGAATGAAGTTTATGACAAACGTGACCTCATTGACTTACACATGAGTGGGTATTCAAGGTACGGTAAAACAAGTCCTCCTAAAGCATTTAAATGACATAATTGATATAAAATTAAATCATTATCGTGTGCAACATATTCAAACTGTTATTTTGATACCGAATATTACACGATGGCAAGAACGAATTCCTCTATTTATTGATGTTAAAGCAGAAAAGTATTTGAAATTTTATTACGAATTAAAAACATATCCATTTCTGACACGTTCATTTACATAGTTCTAAAACGAGTCTATTTACCATACTTTGCTTAAAAGTTAGCTACCAATAAAATCTGTCAGCATTAGGAATCCAAAAATTTGATAACCGGTAAATTTGTCAAATAACACGTTTGATTAAAAAAAAACAAAAAAACATAGCTTTTTTCCTCTTTTCCTTTTCCTTTTTGTTCTTCGTAACCAAAGGTCCATGTGTCTGGACATTTAGCAAGTATGTTGTTCATGTGAATGGAATTCAGTTTTGTAAACGTTGATGGAGTTGTCTTTCGTTCAAGGTCACTAAAGTCAAATGTATGGAGATAAAGTTGTTTTATGGGGAGTCAGACAAGAAATCCCTACATTGCTTCATTTCCTTAGAGTTGACGATATACAATATTATAATATTCCTTCATATTCTGTTAAATGAACGGGCAATACACAAAATAAAACTAGAACTTTTAATGTAAGCCAACGACTAACAAATACCTCTGCTACTAAATAAAATAGAACTGTAAGCTAACGACTAAATAAGGCGTTTGATTCGATATACTTTAGTTTAAATCATCATTGATATGGAATTCATATTTTCTTTTTACATTTTGTGTTAATTAAAATTCTTGTCATGAAATAAATATAATGCATTCTTTGTGGGAACACAAATTCGTTCTGGTTTTAAAATGATATCACTTCGGAGGTATTTGTTGCTGATATATATTTATCAACTTAATGATGCCATGTTACATAACATTATTTTATTATAACTTGGATAGATTCGGTTCACAATAAACAAATTTTAAAATGTACATGTATCGAGCACCATTGAATGCAATCACATTTCCAGTGACAATTAAAGACCTAAAACGAAGAAAATGAAAATATAGCTTCTTACCTTTGTTTTGGATTCTTACTTGTTCTTTATGATTTTCCATGAAAGCGTGTACTCCCGGGTATTATGGCAGCAATTGCAATCAGTCTTGCCTGTTCAACTGTAAAGGCAACCAATGTATGCAAATCAATGGAGAGTGTGAAGGTATGCATCAGTGGAAAGTATGAAAAATATGTATATAAATGTGTTACATGTATATAAGGATTAGTTAGAAAGCATTTATTTTTCATATATTGTATTTGTCATGTTAACATAGACAATAAAGAACAATTGTGCATACAAATAACTTCACGTTACTGTTAAAGATCCGATATTGATTTGTTTATAATGTCTACTAAATGAAAATTAAAAAGATGTTCAAATTATATTAATGGTGTATAATTTGCAGCCCTACAACCGAGGGAAAAACATATATAGCTGAAACCTGCACAGCTATTACCTTATGCCGTTTTTGTTAGAATTAACATTATCTTTGCCAATCAAGATAGGTACTTTAGAACATGATAACATATGTAGAAAGACAGCAGAATAATAGTATGACATAAAAACAAATGCCGGTAGAAGTACGCAAACAATGTAACAGCATAATTTGATGATTGTATATTTATCGATCATCAAAATGAAAAAAAAAAATGAATAACATCAAATTGAGAAAGTATTACGTTAAAAAACAAGAGGATACTTATTATGTATATGTTTGACATGCATACAATACATGGTTGTTCTATATATGATATGTTCGTTTTGTATATTGATATGTTGTTGAAATGTCAATATGGAACTAAATAAAGTTGATTTTCCTTTTGCATTGGCCAGACTGTGAGGATGGATTCTTCGGATCGTCCTGTGATGTCTGCTCTGTTGGTTGTACCAATCATGTCTGTGACAAAGTATCCGGAAACTGTAGTCGTAAGTATTTAAAAAGAACACCTGATCTACGCACTGATGACTAATATTTCAATATATCTCATAATCTATTTTCCTAAGTTAAAACGGATGCTTCAATTGTCAATAAAATCCTATTGTCAGTATATGGTTGTTTATTTTTGTATTGGTGAATTTAAATTGCAATAGAGAAAATCGTTAAAGAGTTAAAAGCCCACTCATTAATTACAGTCCATCAAAGCGTATTTAGACATCCTCTATACCATCAAAACTTCCAACTTTCAGTTAATATGGAAAAATAATCTATCAGAATAATAGGGTTAAGTTGCCGCTGTCTTGCTGCTTTGTGAATGGGTATTATATAAATGAATTAAAGTTGAAAATACCTTCCATTACTACTTAAATTTCAAAACCATATGATAGTGGAAATAGACGTACTCGCATGTTAAGCTCTGTTTCTTTCAGCCATTGTTAGGGATGACTATCTAACTTTGAATCATAAAATGCTTTGTTAGTATTATATTTAGGGGAGGGTAGATTAAAATATCCTAAAATCGAACTGGTTTAAAAAAATTAAACCGATGTTTTTCAATAACTCTCTTTAATATGTTATTACCATTTTTGAATAGAAATGTAGTTTGAAATCATTCATCAGGAATTTGCTGGTTTAACGTTTCTTCAATTTGTACACTGCATATATGTGCGTAATACTCTAAAACTCCATACATCATTGAGATAAGTATACCTACAACATATATATAGATTATGGAAACGGCTAACCTGAATATATACGGGGAAAAACGTGACATGATTTATCCAAATGCCTCTCGTAGATGCGTCTAATGTGGAGCCCTTTCGGTGATGCATGATTGCTTTTAGCGCAATTCATGGATATTTAAAGGTTTTGAACGTAAATGTTGTGCTTAAATTTAACAGATGATTGTTATAATTCTTTTTTGATCTTTCACATAAATTTGCATTCCGTACTAGCGTTTTATCTTTCATAAACTATTACCAAGTTATAGGACAATAGCAAGAAAATATGTATTTCTATAACCCACTTTGCTTCCAATTACCCTGTTCTACTCCGCTCTGCATCCTTATTCACACCTGCCAATTTCCCCACCCCTAGGTATTCCTATCATGACAAGAGATACAAATGTACTTGTAAACTCGTATTTATGTTTTATTCAAACCTGAGTTTTCTTGAAATTCTTGTTTGAATATATACCTAACCTATCATTTTTTGTAGTGTAAAGTGAACAATGTATGTATTAAGTCTCAAATGACTGCTGATGTTATTTTTATTTAAGCATGCAGACCTGGCTATTATGGTGATACCTGCAACACAAGCTGCCCGTCCAATTGTAAAGGGGATAAATGTAATCAAACCAGTGGGTTATGTACAGGTATAGTGACATGATAGGTCATTGACAGAATTCAAATTATAAAATTATAGTTTTCCTATTTGATAGTTTGAAACGTGAAATGGCTGGTTACACATAAAAAAAACATTAATTATAAATATAAGGATATCTATCCTTTATTGCATTGACTACTGTAACATCTAGGTTTTGCTGCATTACCGGTAAGTATACGTTTTAAGTGTGTATGTATAACAATACAATTGGGACAATGGTGATCATACATGGTGTAAACTCATAACGAAACGTTTTTAACGAAAGCAATCACCGATATCTCAAAAGCATTGTTAGTCCTTTAATCCCGAATTTTGTTTAACAAGATAAATTATTTTTGAGACGGCTGTAATGTGTTCAGAAAGATATCATTATGATCTTGCGTATAGATATTCTCAGTTCATTTATCGTTGATACGTGACTGCATGAGATAATGTTTTGTAGCGTGTTGAATATTACATTTTTGGCATAGTAAAACAGACAGAGTAAGTAATTTTGGGGTATAGCAAAACTATATCGCAGTTAGAAACTTGATTTCATACGTGAAGAGGATACTTTAAATGTACATTATTAACACACAAATTCCATAAATCAAATAATAAAAAGACGTATTTTATTACACAGCCTACAGCAAGGCAAATATAATTGCCATGATACAAATCTTATGTAAACATTACTGCAAGTAGACGACAATACATGTATTTGTTTAATTGTGTTTTAGAATGTGCACCCGATATTTATGGCATTGACTGTAAGCAGATTTGTCCGGCAAACTGTCGAGACTCGCTATGTGCCAGAAGTAGCGGGGATTGTTCAGGTACAATGATGCTTGCAAACAGAGTCAGTTTTTCTATTTGCCGATCATTTCATGTTTTGGTAATAGATAAGGGTACGTTAAGTTCGTTGTATGTGTTAACAGTCTCATGTTCCGATCGGTTATGAAACATGGTCGCTGTGGCCTATAATTGTTTGACATATACATGTGTTGAGGCCAAGGAGACGTGAATTATCCTTCTCTTTTTATTTTGCCAAGCATTATTATGTTAGTGCATTATGGCATTGGAAAGTCCATCTTATGTATCATTTGTGACAACAGGGTTTGTTTAGGGGACGACTTCTATTATGGTCCCCATTACAATTCAAACTTGTTTAATGTATCTACTCAAAACATTTCTGTTTAATCTAAAGGCATAACAATCTTAATAACAAATTGATATTGATATTCAAAATTGGATTGTACGGGGCAACTTTTAATATTAATTGTTTTGATCAATGATCGGATATTCAGTCAATCGGGCTGAAATAATGAGGGTTAGTAAACTTAATTTACATTAGAACATAATAACGTTACCCCATTTGAGTTGGCATTAGGTGTAATGCACAAAAGGAGTCGTTTGTGTAAATATGAACTATTTGTATTGTAGCATGTGAACCTGGTTTCTTTGGACTAAATTGTAATATGTCATGTTCTGGTCATTGTGAATGCCAACAGAACAACGGAACGTGCATAGGTACAGTTTACATATCATTAACATTTTGTCAAAGTATGGCTTAGCTATTAATCATGCATAGAAAAGATAGTTTGTGTAAGATTCAAATTACGTACTATCATTGTAAAAAGACAATGAATCATGTGCATATTGCTTCATTTCCTTATCGTCAATTATAATCAAAATGTTTCACCTGAAAGATCTTCATCATTTAATATTTCATTTCTACTTCAATAGATTATTTCTAAAAGCTTCACACATCTTATTTTAATCCATTCTAATAAAGATGTTTTTATAATAACATGTGATACCCGAATTCATTTCTGTTTGCAATTACACTACTTCAATTTGTGTTATTAGCTTGTACGAATGGATATTTTGGACTCAACTGTGAAGAGAAATGTGGGCAGTGCAGTGCTGTTTCATGCAGAAGGTCTGACGGACAATGCTTATGTAGCGACATGACACACGGGACATGCGGGTGTAAAAATAGATGGGAAGGAGAGAAGTGCACTACAAGTATTTTGATTTTATGTTGTTTCCTTTTTTATTTATAAAACAAATAACTGATGATATTTCACTCAGTTTATGTAGATTTTATTTAAAAAAACATAATATGAAAATGACGAAACCATAATGGAATCTGTCAAATATATTACATATCAATTGAACGAGAAGGAGTTATCAGCACAATTGTGTTCATTTCAGAAAAGTTGATGTCAGTCTCAGACGACCAAACAGGAACGTACGCTGGGGCTGGTGTTGGAGCAGTGGTTGTGATTGTTCTTGTTGTTATAGCAACTGTCATCGTCCTTAGAAGGTATGCACTCACGTTAATTGTATTGTGAAACTTGGCAGATGATGTTTTAATATTGTTTGATTATTAACATTTCGAATTTGTTTCATGCCTGTATCTTTAGGAAGCGATTACCAAAACACAAACAAGAAAATCACCTTGAAGGCAGAGGCAAGGCGTTTGGAAATGTAGAGTCATTACCAATCCCGTTTGAAACGTCAGACACGCAAACAAATAGTGGAGGTAAATGTTGTACATATAGGTTACCACTTAGTAATGTCATAATTAGGTATTGTGTTATTTGCATCACTTTTTCTTTATGTAAATGTGGAGGATAACATTTGACTGGGTCAAATAGTATTTTAGTATTGCAGCATTAGCAATACATTTTGACTTTTGATTATAAGTCACAGTCGTATTCCATATATCAGCGTATTCCTGTATACAGCGTCTGCAGGATACAACACAGATATATTTTGTTGTAGCTACGGAAGAGAGGACTATTAGCGTCATACTGGCGTGTTTGATTTACACTTTCATGTTTAATACCAGAAGCGGAAAGATGTGTATTATACGTAAAATAAATATTGATAATAAAAATAAACGGGTACATATACATATGTACGTAAGATACTTGTTTATATTTGATAAAAAAAACTTTTCGAAAGTATCCAGTTTTTCTTTAATACATATGCTTGATATTAAAGATACTACAAGTGAAGACAGACAGGTTTACGTGAACGTACACGACATTGACCCACAAACTGATGATGACGTCGTGTATAACAACGTTGACGTCACTGGTGTCCCTATTCATGAACTACGGTCTATCATCGATAGCAAGATGGAAAATAAAGCGGCAGCATTTCAAGACGAATTTCAGGTTTGAATGCATGTGTACATCATTCATTGATGATATATAAAACAACAATGTCGAGCAGCACTAATACATGTAGCAAATCATTACATAAGGAAGGAATTAGACGTATCTTTAGATGTTCTTGAGGTTGATTCTTCAATACCGTGAAAACACACTATTTCTACTGGTATTAAGCAAAAAGACATTCCTTGATTTTGTTCCTACATATGATGATATTTTACTTAATAAATACATTGCTTTTAGACGTTTCCATGGGGAGCAGTATATCCGCACGAGGCTGGCAAAAAGACATCAAACACACCAAAGAACAGATTCAAGACAACCTTCCCGTGTAAGAAATTGTCTATTTCTGTACCACAGCAATACTCTTTACAATAACAGAGTTATTATCTTAATCAGTTTAACTACATAAACATAACAAGAAATATATGACGATTTACTGTATAAAGAACACTTAATGAATTCACACATATTTTGTTTATCACACATCTGTTTACATGTTAGTATATAACTATATTGCAGATGACCATTCCAGAATCGTACTAGATGCAAAAGGCAAGGATGTCGATACAAGCTACATCAACGCAAATTATATCGATGTAAGTATGTCGGTCGCGAAATCGAGCTGTCTTATATTGATTGTAGCATACATATAAAAGCAATTCTGGTAGTTTTGTTAAGATTATTGTTGTTTTCGTTTGTTATGTGTTCGACACCATGCTATTGACAACTATAAGATAACCAATATGGTTACAAGTGACAAATTCATCTACACAGGATATACAAATAAACGTAACATTTAACTTGAATTACGACATTTTTTTTCCAAAATAAAAAAAAACAAACATTTAATTTGTCATTTACTATATTTACACAGTGTATAATAAGTTGTACCCATGTAATATTAATAACAATAATATATTATATTGATCTATTACAGGGAATTGGAAACGAAAAAGCGTACATTGCCAGTCAAGGTATTATACCATACGTTTGAAAGCATTTTTTATGTTATTAAAACCTTCCAACAAAAAAATGTTTAAACTACAATATATAGCGACAAACCGAACACAAATAAATCAAAAGCCTCTTCTGATCAAAGGGGGACAATCCGTTATGTATAGTATTAGCTTTATTAATGCATTGCCATTATGTAACTGTTTGTCCAATAATAATTGTAATTTCGTTCCAATTTATACATACTGCTGTACAAAGGCCCGAAGAAAAACACTCTGGACGACTTTTGGAGGATGGTGTGGCAGGTGAATTCTGGGAAGATTGTTATGTTGACAAACCTTCAAGAGGGTCGCAATGTATGTATTTGGTTATGCTAGTGTATATTATGTTTTTCTAGTATACTAGATAATGCCCGAAAAGTAAAAGTAAATAAAAGAAAAAGAAACAGATGAGAATGGTTTGTGAATATTTTTTTTTCTCCTGCTTGTAAGTACAATTTTGTATATCCATTTCAAACTCGCTTTGGTTATTTCTACAGGTAAAATGTCACAAATACTGGCCTGATGAAGGAGAATCACTTGCTACACAGACATTTGAGCTCAAACTTGACAGAGAGATGACCTATGCCTTCTATGTCATCCGTGATATTTCAATGGTCCATAAAAAGGTATTGATTTCACTTTAAATCATTATGTAACCAACTTGAAATTTTATTGTTTATTCTTCATATTGCAAGTGATAAGCATTAGTGAGCTGATCATTACTGTCTCTAATGCACCCGATGATCCTCACTGTAGACAAAAGAAGAGCGTATGGTCCATCAGTTTCATTTTACTAAATGGCCTGACCATGGAACTCCGGACTCGTTGGAGCTCGTCCTCTTCGACCGCCGTGTGACGTCATACAAAACACAACTGACGGGAGAGATGATTGTACACTGCAGGTACCAATCTTAGTTTCATTGTGTCGCTTATAAAGTCCACAAGCCCTTTGCCCTATTTAGATGGTGCAACAGGGAAACTGCATATTTATGTTAATATGACAACACAGAAAGTGATGACGTTATGAAACATTATGACGTAAAATCCCTACTTTTGCATATCAAACATCTCTCAAAACATTGTTCTATTCGTCTTTCAAAATTTGACATTTATTATGGACATTCCGATTATCATTTCAAGCTCGTGAATATCAAAATGTAAGCACCGTAGCAAGGAAAATGGTCCTGTGATTATAACTTCATAGGAATGGAAAGTTAAAATAGTAAAATGTCTAACGTATACTCAATATCTTATAAATGTAGTAGCAAGCCTTCGGCAGCATCATGTCTAGATTAAACATCAAGGTAAGCGACTGATGTAGTCGGATCGGTAACGTTCCTGTTTTTAAATTCATGATGTCAATATTTTCTATAAATAAACCTCGTATGAAAGAATAAATAAGTCAGTCAACGGTGGTGCTCAGTCTGTCCCAATGGCTACGCCAACAGCACTTCGATAAAACTCTCCATCAAACGTAAAGATTGGTATACATACGCCTGAAAAGCTACGATTTATTGATCAAAATTTGTAATATTTTTAAGTAGTACTGTTGAACATGTCTCCCTTTTTAGGTCACCTGAGCTTTGCTCAAGTGACCTAATATGATTGTTTTCGTCCATCGTTACCCGTCGTTCGTACATTTTTTTACAGTTTGATGATTTCTGCTCGATAAACAGTGGACTACAAAACGGTGAAATTGGGACTCCTATCCTATCCATAGGTGCCAAAGCAGGGCCCCAAAGGAAAAAAATAACAAATATTTCAAAACTCTTCTTCTCCATACCCAGATGTTCTAGTCTATTTATCTGCATGGATGAAACAATAATTCGGGATTTTATTTAAATTATAAATTTCAGTACCCCCGGAACAACTGTTCCCTGTTGGGGAGGGGGTGGAGTCTACTATGGTGTATTTAGGGAAATAACATTTTTGGGTATATGTTGTCAATTTTCCGTAGGAAGTTATTCCTACTTGATGAAAATCATTTCTTAGAGCAAGACAGTATTAGATTATAAAATTGGAATTCCTGTCCCAATCCCAGGGGCCAGATCCGTCAGATTCAGAGATAGTACAGATTATTTCTCTGCATGAATGGGAAGTTCATCAGGGATTTTAATTAGATTGTAAATTGCATTAACCCCGGCCCATCAGTTCTCCATTGGGGAGGGGTAAAAGTGTACTACAGTTTATAAAGGGAAATCCCATTTTAGGATATATTTTGTCCATTTTCAGCAGGAAATCATTCAAACCTGGTTGGAATGATTATGATGCCAGATGGTAATTAGATGGTATGAGAAAATAAGATCCTGCCCGATGCCCAGGGGCTTGAGTGATTGTGCCATAATGGGGGGAAATGGTTAAAGGTTAAAAAAAAATACTTCTTCATCAGACTCGGATGTTTTACAAACACATACTCTTCTTGGATAGAAAGGTCCTCAGGTGCATTAGCTAAATTGTAAATTGCATCACTCCTGGTCAACCATTCTCACTTTGGGAAAGAGTAAGTTTACTATAGTTTATATAGGTACCCGGTAAACAACATGTTTAGGGTACAAGATGGCTACTAGACGGTATAAAAAATTCTGGCCTTGCCACAGGAGATGGAGGGGTGAACCAAAAAGGGGGAAATCTTTCATATTTAAACTATTTCTGCACTCAGATGTACAAGAATCAAGTTTTTTTTATGGATGGAAATGCCCTTATTAGTGCATTATATAAATTGTTAGTTTTATTACCCTTTGCTCATTTGTTCTCATTGGCTTATATAGGGAACTAACTCTTCTGACTACATATCTTGTCCCTTCTCAGCAGGAATTAAGTCTGGTTGGAATAGTTATAAAGAAACTGAAATCAAATAGTATCAGAAAGTAAGATCCATACCTATCCCAGGGATTGTCCAAAAAGGAAAAATAGGCTTAAAAAACAATAAATATTTTTTTTTTCACTGAAGCAAAATAATTTATTTAAATAGTTTTTAAAATTGTTATCCTTTGGTTATATGACCATTGTATTTCACTTCGTTTACATGTGGATTTCCACATTACATCTCAACAATGAAATTGAGCTACTACTACCTATATAATTATATATCAGGTGACCGCTAAGGTCATTGGCTTCTTGTTTAAGCAGTATATGCAATAGTGTTTACAGGAATTAATTTAATTATGCTATTTTAACGATATTGATTCAAACTAATCTCATGCAGAGCATCGAGTGTGGCTCGAACGGCTGGGTCAAGAAATACAAATTTACGTTGGGTTTCCAGTTTGGATTTCAAGCCGCTATATTGTCTAGAATGATAGACCTAACATCACCCAACTGAAATGTGTGTGTATTATCCAGAGTGTTCTGGTTTTATATCTTGCATGGTACCATTTTCCAACGAATATGAATAAAATGAGGACCTTGGAATTCTTAAAACATGTATGTGTCTGTATATACTTTGCAGCCTCATCAAAATACTAGCAGTTTTATATTATGTAGATTGCCAGTTTACTACATGTTGGTGTATACAAGGGACATACTGAAGTTATTCGAAGATAATCTAAATACAAGTGTTGCTTATAGTTAAATATAGTGGTAACAATAGGTTTAGAAGAATTTTAAGTAATAATCGGGGCTCTTACTTTTCTTATGCTCAGAGGTTAGTTACGACAGACTTGTGGTGTATATTTAATAATGTCATGGTATCTCAGGCCTTGTTTACAAAACGCAATTTCATATATTTTTAAAACGTTCAGTTACCGGAGGTTTTGAATTTACCGCTAGCAGCATTGGTTATTTTTTTCTATAAACAAAATCAGTCATATTCAAGTAGCAGGTCTCATCGGTTTTTTGAGACGTCTCTAATTAAAATAAAAAAGTTAAAAAAGTTAAAAAAAACATATTATTACAGTTTTTTTAAAATATATTTTGATACGATATTATGACAGTGATCCCTTCAATGTCCCTATTAATTCCTTCATCAACTAGTTTAGACATTTTATAGATGTTAATCTCGCAACGCTGATAGACAATTTGGCTGGAAATCCAACGAAGAGGAATGCACCCTATAACTTAATTTTACAGTGCTGGCATTGGAAGGACTGGTACTTTTATCGGTTTAAACGAATTGCTTATTCATGGCAAGAACACAGGAAAAATTGACATTCCCAGATACATCGGAACGATGAGGAATGGCAGAATGAACATGATCCAGACTTATGTACGTAGTGCCTGAACGATTTACAAATCTGCATGATACAACGTATAACTTCTACTCTA